GTAAACTGTGGACGTGCCCTTTTTTTTTTTTTTTTTTTTTACCCTTAAAAATGTATGGTCGGTGACTCGGTGTTGATTGGGCCGAATTTGAGCGACAGTGCTGTGGGACACAGTTCCAGTGTGTAACTCTGTCCGCGAGACAAATGTCGCACGTGCTTAAGAAACAGAAGCCAAAATGGCGGCAGGCTGTGCCACCAGGTCTCTGAGCAGGCACGTCTCCGTGCAGCTGCGCAGGGGAAATTTGGTAGATCAGCCCCACGGAAAAACCTTTTTGGTTTCCTATGCCCAAACTTTTTGGGCAAGAAGGGGCCTCGGGCAATACTTGCTGGTGAGATTGGGTCCTGACCCCTTGGCCTCTACCGAATTATGAACATTGCACGAGAATTACACCAGATTCATTCTCGGGTACTAGGCCCTTTTTTCCCAACGGGAAAGGTTTCTGTGCCCAAAAAGGTTTTGCGATGCGGGGTTTTGGCCAATTATTCCTGCTCGGAGACCCGCAGGACATTCTACGAGGCACTGTGGAGTCAGTGGGCACCACTTGGATCAGCAGATCCACCACACACACTTCACACGCGTCACATGCAGCAAGTTCCAGCAACACAGCCCCTCAAAGAAGAACGCCTGTGCCTCAATCGGTCCGTCAGTCTGGGACCTGGCCCCTGGGACCTGGGACAAAGTCCCACTACCGGGGGCTGGCTTGGTTTCAAGTACGCACTGGCTCCTGGATCCGATCTGAACATCTCACGCGTTGCAAAGTACTCTACTCGGAAGGACGACTAAACCCCGGCTAGTGCACTTAACTCCTGGGAGGCTGGGACAAAGGTCCCACTAGCAAAGAGGATTGGACTAAGCCCATGGATCTGGACGTGTTTTACGTAGAGATCCATGGACGTGTTTCACGCAGAGATGCAGAAAAGCAGATCAATGGCCAGTTGACACACGGCTCTACAAACACGTCCAGATTCAGGGGTCGAATTCAATCGTCTGTGCTACCAGTCGGACCTCGCCCCTGGCTTCCGCTATCTGATGCCATGCCACCTGAGACCCCTGAGACGTGGGAGGGGGAGGGAGAGCCATTAGGTGACGGGTCTATGACCTTAATTATTGCCCCTCTTCAAAACTATACTATGCCAGTAGACGGATTTTTTTTTTCCTTAAAAAAAAAAAAAGTTAAAAATAATAGAAATATATATATATATAGATATAGATATATATATTCATGGCTATGATCCGGACGTCCGGACCGCCATCCAGAAGGTCTGGATTCAGTCCGGACACCAGACGTCCCGTCTGGAAGGTCCGGATCTGCAAAATTTCGAGGAAAAAAAAAAACAAAAAAAAACGGCCCAGGACCCTTCCTCATTGAGGAGCCAAGCCCCCAAAATTATTTTGGGGATTTTTCAGGCCCGTTTATGCTTTTTTGGGGGGTCCGGACATGCTCTCTCTCTATAATAATTTATCAGACAACCCCAACTTTTTAATTATTAATAATTCATTACCTTTATTAGTTTTTTATTAACTCTTTTTATAAGCTTTTCATAGTTTTTGACTTTTAACTCAAGTTTGGTTAGGAATTCTGACATGACTCTAAGGCAAAAGTGGTTTGCATTGTTATTCTGCATAACATACTTTTTTTTCAGATTTTTTTTTTTCCCTTTCTAATGGTCCGGACATTTCCGGACCAGTCCGGGTCCCCCCCATGTCCGGAGGTCCAGAAATGTTCGGAAGTCCAGACTTCCGGAAACTACCGGACCCGGGTCCGGTTCCATGTCCGGAAATGTCCGGGTCCGGGTCTGGGTCCGGGTCCGGCATAGCCATGAAAAAATCTATGCTATGTTATTAGACGGAATGGCGTCCTCATTCATACAAGTACATTATGATCTAGTAACATCTGACGGTTCCCAGCAAGTGCAGCTCCCCACACATAGGAAGTGCGAATTAGTTAAAAATTATGGAAAAAAAAACGAAAAGAACTTGATAACTCCCTTTCTTTTTGTGTGTGTGTGTGTGCTGGGCCAGCTTGAGATGGTGTGGCGGAGTTGGAGCCGTCCTGCAATCGAGATCTGCGACCTGGGGTGAAGTCCCACCGCCAAAGTAGAGTTTTCTCAACGCTGACCTTTCTATCACGTGTGTCATGGTGAGACGGAGCTCTGCCGTTGATGTATTGAGAATCTAAGGGTATCGAAATAGATTTGGTCGTTTTGTACATTTTTTCTTTGACGTGAAATCCGTTTTGTCGTATCATCTCGTATGCTTTGGGTCTTTGGCCCTTTCCGTTTGGACGGGAAACCATTTTCCATTGAGAAAACTACCCTACCGGGGTAGGGTACATTTCTCAACTTATGTGCCTTTCGTTTTTTTTGTTTTTTTAGACATCATTACACGCTGAAACGGAGGAACTCTGACAGCTGTGTTTGGCTCTCTCGCATCTAACTCTCTTCGTTCTTTGGGCAATCAACGCATCTGGCCATCCATGTTGTCCCTGTCCATTTTACGAATGGTGACCTCCTGTCCCCTCACCACGGGAAGTATCCTTTTTCCACGGAGACATACTCCGACTGTGCCAGACATGTTTCATTTCTCCGAGTGACTTAATCAAAAATAAGGAGAAAAGCTGTTTCTAGCGTTCTTTTTCAGTTTTTTAATTTCCTGTTTCGAATTTATTAATGTCAAAATGGTGTCACACGGTTGCGTTTTCCAAACTTAAACTTGGGCGGTGGGACTTCACCCCTGGCCGCACTCAATAATTCCTTGCATCATAGGAGTGGCAGTTTAACTGTTTTTTTTTCTTTTTTCTTTTTTTTAACTGTTCTATACGGACCGGGGCCAAGTCCCACTAGCAGTCAGAAAAGTATAGGAATGAGGGCCGTTCATTTGTGCAACACTCTTTTTAGCCGCAGATAGCAAAGGGATCGGCCTATGTCTTAATTTTGTTGATGCCGCGCAAATAATAGGACGGCAGATGTTTCTCAGGCTCTCATTGGCCAGTGGCCACCAACTGTGCTAGGTGCTCTTTCTCATCCTCGGTAAGGGGCGCCGCCAGAGATTCCCAAAATTATTAAAACCTTAATAAAAAGGGGGTAACTTCAGTAGAGTCACAAGAACGAGTTATAATTGCACTATCATAATGGGGCAAGATACAGTTTGCAATTGCACTTCGGGCACCTTACTCTCCAGAAAGCTGGGTTGTATACATTGCTCGAACTGCAATTCGAAACTGTATCTTGGTCCACCATAGTGCAATTATAACTCTTTTTTGTGACTCCCACCTAGTTTCCCCAAAAAACAAATATCGTGAGAAGAGTACGTCAGTCTGAGCAAACTGCCCTCTCTCTCTCTCTCTCTCTCTCTCTCTCTCTCTCTCTCTCTCTCTCTCTCTCTCTCTCTCTCTCTCTCTCTCTGTGTGTGTGTGTGTGT